CAATATGATCATTTCTATTGTAATAAATAAGTCCATATAGTTAATAATTTATTCTACAGTCTAGGCCTTGCCTATCACTGCTTGCATATTGCTACTTCTACACACAAGATTTTATAGCTTCTGCACAGTGTTATGAAAAATTAGTTCAATTATGCCCAGACGAAAATATATACAAATTATATCATGCTCAGTCTTTGCATCAAGCTTGTATGTATCAAGAGTCTTGGGCAATATGTTCTAATATTATAAATCACAGTAATTTAGAGACTAAAGTAAAGAAGTTGCAAGCAGCAATAAAATATGGACAGGAAGATATGGTTGTTGCAAAAAGCCTTGTTGATCAATGTCCAGTGGATGATGTTGATACAGAAATTAATTTAGGCTGTCTTTTATATAAGGTATTAGAAAAAAGAGAAATTAAAAAAAACATCTAGCAATTTTTAAACATTTTCTTCATTTTAGGAAGAGCAATATGAGCAAGCTTTAAAGAAATTTGTAAATGCGTTACAAATTGCAGGTTTTAAACCCCATTTGTCTTACAACGTAGCACTCTGTTATTTTAAATTAAAAGAATTTGCTGCATCGTTAAAATATATTGGTAAAACTCATGCTACTATGACTAATTCAGCTTAATATATGAAAATAATATAACATTTATTATACATTACTAGCTGATATTATTGAGCAAGGGATACGAGAACATCCAGAATTAGGAGTAGGAATGACCACAGATGGTATAGAAGTCCGTAGTGTTGGAAATACCTTAACATTACATGAAACAGCTTTAACAGAAGCGTTCAACTTAAAAGCTGCAATAGAATATCAATTGCAGAATTGTAATTATACACAAAAGATATTTATTATTTGATATCTCCTATTGTTACTAAATTTCGTTTGATATATCTAGATGAAGCAGCAAAAGAAGCACTAACAGATATGCCCCCAAGATCTGAAGAAGAACTTGATGCTGTTACATTGCACAATCAAGCTTTGATAAATATGGACACAAAGCCAAGTGAAGGATTTGAGAAACTTCAATTTTTATTACAACAAAATCCATTTCCACCTGAAACGTTTGCTAATTTATTACTACTGTATTGCAAATATCAATATTACGATTTAGCAGCTGATGTTTTAGCCGAAAATGTACACCTGACTTTTAAGTATCTGACATCAGTAAGTATTATTTTTTTATTGCATTATTACAAGTATCGAAAGTGCATAGATCACAAGTTACACACTAAAAATATTTTTGTAATTGAAGAAGTTATAAAAGCTACATACAAATTAGTCTTCAAATCTGCACGAATTGTATTATGTCTCATCGATCTGGATATTTACTTTTTGAGTGCTTACATTTTTTTGTACGTTTCTCTGAGCTTTCAGAATGTTTTCGTTTGTGAACTTTTACATTATGACTAGAAGAACTGTCATTAGAACTATCATCACTAAAGGAACTGTCATGTTTCCTTTTCTTCTTTTTTTTCTGATCTTTGGAATGTTTCCTCTTCTTTTTCTTTGTTATTTCTTTCTCATCTGAATCACTATTATCTACGCCTTGCTTATTTTTTTTAAGTTTGTGTTTTTTCTTAACTTTTTTTTGTTTGTGCTTCTTTTCCTTCTCATTTTCATCAATCGGTTGTTGAACAACTTCTTCTTCAATTTCTGGANCAATATGATCATTTCTATTGTAATAAATAAGTCCATATAGTTAATAATTTATTCTACAGTCTAGGCCTTGCCTATCACTGCTTGCATATTGCTACTTCTACACACAAGATTTTATAGCTTCTGCACAGTGTTATGAAAAATTAGTTCAATTATGCCCAGACGAAAATATATACAAATTATATCATGCTCAGTCTTTGCATCAAGCTTGTATGTATCAAGAGTCTTGGGCAATATGTTCTAATATTATAAATCACAGTAATTTAGAGACTAAAGTAAAGAAGTTGCAAGCAGCAATAAAATATGGACAGGAAGATATGGTTGTTGCAAAAAGCCTTGTTGATCAATGTCCAGTGGATGATGTTGATACAGAAATTAATTTAGGCTGTCTTTTATATAAGGTATTAGAAAAAAGAGAAATTAAAAAAAACATCTAGCAATTTTTAAACATTTTCTTCATTTTAGGAAGAGCAATATGAGCAAGCTTTAAAGAAATTTGTAAATGCGTTACAAATTGCAGGTTTTAAACCCCATTTGTCTTACAACGTAGCACTCTGTTATTTTAAATTAAAAGAATTTGCTGCATCGTTAAAATATATTGGTAAAACTCATGCTACTATGACTAATTCAGCTTAATATATGAAAATAATATAACATTTATTATACATTACTAGCTGATATTATTGAGCAAGGGATACGAGAACATCCAGAATTAGGAGTAGGAATGACCACAGATGGTATAGAAGTCCGTAGTGTTGGAAATACCTTAACATTACATGAAACAGCTTTAACAGAAGCGTTCAACTTAAAAGCTGCAATAGAATATCAATTGCAGAATTGTAATTATACACAAAAGATATTTATTATTTGATATCTCCTATTGTTACTAAATTTCGTTTGATATATCTAGATGAAGCAGCAAAAGAAGCACTAACAGATATGCCCCCAAGATCTGAAGAAGAACTTGATGCTGTTACATTGCACAATCAAGCTTTGATAAATATGGACACAAAGCCAAGTGAAGGATTTGAGAAACTTCAATTTTTATTACAACAAAATCCATTTCCACCTGAAACGTTTGCTAATTTATTACTACTGTATTGCAAATATCAATATTACGATTTAGCAGCTGATGTTTTAGCCGAAAATGTACACCTGACTTTTAAGTATCTGACATCAGTAAGTATTATTTTTTTATTGCATTATTACAAGTATCGAAAGTGCATAGATCACAAGTTACACACTAAAAATATTTTTGTAATTGAAGAAGTTATAAAAGCTACATACAAATTAGTCTTCAAATCTGCACGAATTGTATTATGTCTCATCGATCTGGATATTTACTTTTTGAGTGCTTACATTTTTTTGTACGTTTCTCTGAGCTTTCAGAATGTTTTCGTTTGTGAACTTTTACATTATGACTAGAAGAACTGTCATTAGAACTATCATCACTAAAGGAACTGTCATGTTTCCTTTTCTTCTTTTTTTTCTGATCTTTGGAATGTTTCCTCTTCTTTTTCTTTGTTATTTCTTTCTCATCTGAATCACTATTATCTACGCCTTGCTTATTTTTTTTAAGTTTGTGTTTTTTCTTAACTTTTTTTTGTTTGTGCTTCTTTTCCTTCTCATTTTCATCAATCGGTTGTTGAACAACTTCTTCTTCAATTTCTGGAATTAAGTCATATTTTTTCCCATCAGGAGACATGAAACAATCATTCGATAAATGACCAGCAGTTCCACATTTTGTGCATGTTGTGTTAAGAACTGCTTCTAAATGTATTGCTTTATGTTCATATTTTCCGAAAGATTTCTTCTTTTGAGCATCCCTTTGTAATTCGACCCCATTAGGATCTAAGTCTGTCCCATTTCCTTGATTCACATATTTCATAGACAACCCTATTTTACCATCATCTCCCATAGAAATTATTTTGCACCAAACTCGTTCTCCTTTTTGTAAAACCTGCGCAACATCATCGACACGAGCATTGCTTACCTAAAAGGGTTATGTTAATACGAGTTATTCATTTTGCAAACTTATATTATAATGCAAATAGGAATTTAACTATTTTGCAAATATTGTTGAATATATTGTTTTCTTACCTGCGATCTGTGTAGTAATCCTTGCGATGCACAGCCAGGAATTCGAATGAAAGCTCCGTAATTTTGTACAGACGCAATTTCTCCAAGAAATATTTGATTTAGTTTGCAATTTACCATTTTCAATAGATTTAATACAAGTATATTTTCATGCGGGTTATGAAATTGTTTTATTGCGTTAAAACAATAATAATAAATCACCGTCAAGAAAACATGACACAAAGGTTAAGATCACCTAATTGTTTAAGTGCAGGGCTGTAACAAGTATAAACAACATGGGGTGATATGAAGCTGCGAATGATTACAAACCCCGATCATGCATATAACACGTTTTAATAGAATTTAATAAGTGTTAACTCATTTTTAGTATTTATACGATTTTTTGGATGCTTTAATTACGCAACAAACTTCACCAGAAGAAGCGTATCGCAAATTCGATGATCTTGGAAATAAGCACATGGAGATTTTAAGTAAAGCAACCAAGCGGGTTCAAGAAGCCAGACTTAATCATGATGATAATGCTGTTAAAAAAGCTGTAACTGATTACGAAGAAGCTTTGGAGCGATATGTACCTGTTTTAATGGCTCAAGCCAAAATTTATTGGGAACTTGGGAATTATACACAAGTTGAAAAAACATTTCGAAAAAGTGTCGAATTTTGCAATGAACATGATATATGGAAATTAAATGTAGCACACACATTATTTATGCAAAAGAACAAATTTAAAGAAGCAGCAGTATTTTATGAACCCATCGTAAAAAAGAAATATGATAATGTTAGTTATCTCGTGTTTTTTCTTCGCTTATGGCAATTATAAGTGATTAATAATTAATTTACTAAAATTTCAGATTTTAGATGTAAGCGCTATAGTACTCGCTAATTTATGTGTAAGTTACATTATGACATCTGAAAATACAGAAGCTGAAGGCCTAATGAAAAAGATAGAAAAAGAAGAACAAGCAATTTCGAAGGAAGACCAAGATAAAAAATTATTTCATTTGTGTATTGTGAATTTGGTAATAGGGACACTGTACTGTTCTAAAGGAAATTATGACTTCGGTATATCTAGAGTGATGAAAAGCTTAGAACCATACAACAAAAGATTAGGAACCGATACTTGGTTCTACGCGAAAAGATGTTTTCTTTCGCTTTTGGAACAATTGGCTAAACAATTGGTAGTTTTGAAGGACACAACACTTCAAGAGTGTATACAATTCTTGGAGCATTGCGAAGGTACTAGTATATTTTTCGTTCTAAAATATTATGTTTTCATAATTTTAATACACGTTTTTATTTTTAGTTTATGGGAGGGACATAATGACAGTGGTAGAACAACCTTTCGATATGCGAGATATGCTTTCTATGGAACCACAAGGGAAACAAACAGTTGTATACGAAGCGCGATATTTAAAAGCACTGTTTTTAAGATTTCAAATGTCCTAAATTATTTTCATTTTTCAATCTTGTTATGAAATGTTAGAAATAAATCACAATTAAAAATACTGGGTTAAAATAGGCCAATGAATATCATGTGATTATGAAAATTAACGATTGACATGATCCAACGCACTTCTATATGTATATGTACATAATACACAAATAGACAGTGTATTATGATAAAAGTCTGCGCATGGTATCTATCTAAGTATATGCGGCACTGACGGCTTATATTTACAATGTACGTCTTAGATTAGAAAGGTGCCCAAAATTATGGTATTTCCGAGAAACGAGGGGTTTCTGAGGTCATTTGAAGTAACTTTTTCCTTAGCGAACATGCAATCTGTGGCTTTGTTTATGAGTTATTAACGAAAAACACAGACCAATGAGAGGCGAGCTCGCACAGCGTTAAGCGGCCGAGCCAATTAGCGAAATTGGGCTTCCACCGCTCATTGGCTCGGCAGCCTTGCGCTAGCTGAACTCACCTCTCATTGGTCACTGTTTTTCGTTAATAACTCGTAAACGAAATTGCGGATTGCAATTTCACTAAGGAAGAAGTTACTTTAAATGATCTCAGGAACCCCTCATTTTCCGAAAGTATCATAATTTTGGGACACCCTATATATGATTTGTAAAACTTGGACCATATACATACTACAGTAATGGGACCTACTCTTGCTTTTCTTACTTCCTAAGGTGGCGCGAACATCCCTATCATTTTACTGCTCATTTAATCCGTAGTGGATATTGTTTCGGCAGTGAATTATCAACCAATCAGAGAAAAGAAAATTTTTATATCGACCCTCGCTAACGAATCAAACTGCGGCCTGGAGCTGTGCAGGAGTAGGATCCATTACTGTATGTCTAAGTTATGCAGGGTTTCCCCGAAAAAAATGAACAAACTTCGGTATCGTATTCTGTACCTCCTAAGGATGAGAAAAGATCACATAAACATAAGTTCAGAAACTCTTCGTTGTGGAGATATAAACACTTTATGTTTGCAATGATTCACGCTCCTCACCTACATTTCATGGACCGCTGAATTCATTTAAAAAGTCTGCCTTTGGCGAGTCGTTGGGTCTTTGACGTTCAAGGCTCGACGCTCTCGGCATCGCGTTTATTCAAGTTGGTAAAAGTTATTGGAAGATTTATTCAAATTCTCTCTCTTCGAATAAATATATAGATAAAAGATGGAAATTTCATTCAACGCTGCGAATAAAAAGGCATCTTTATTCGTCGAATAAATTCTCGTCGAATAAAAATACAAAATATATTAAAATATTATATATATTATATATTATATATTAAAATATAAGTGTCGGTCACCGGTGACCCCCGTGGTATTCAATGTGTTATACGTACATGTTTATAGGAAATGTTTCGACAAGTTGAGCAGGATCAGGATCAGCTAATTATTGCATTGCTCTGAATGGTAGCGGAAGAAAATGAATATATATAATAAAGACTTAATATCTCTTTTTAAAAAATGTTTCTTTGATCGAAATATGACCCACTTGCTTCCATACACTTTATAAATGTCATTTTTAAAAAGTTTTGGTCTTATGCATGAATACATTCGGCTATGGAAATTTGAATACTATCTTCACAAAGGAAGTGTTCATTCCGTGTGAAAAGAGTTCTATTTAAAACATGAAAATCTATTGGCGATAAATCGAATGTATAGGGTGGATTGTAAAGTTACATACTCTAATTCTTTAATTCTGAAACTGTTTTTTGTTCTTCTGATCCTGCTCAACTTGTGAAACATTTTCTACAAATATATGTATTCAAAATATATCTCAATGTGCATTGAGCATCTTTCGCAATTACGCTGGATGATGTGGTCGAGAATACTACAAGGCGACAAGTACAAGTAGAATACGATCTCTACGTTTTTGACTGTGAGGGCAGCACAAACTGTGAATCGTCAGCCAATCAGGTCAAAGCAGTTTCTGTACCATATCTCGGATGAGGAGCCTTGCTGCCTCTGAAAACAGCTGTAAGAACGGGAGCTGATGATGTGTATGGCTGTCACTGTGTTGTATATGCAGTAGTCTAATCTCGTGACGTCACTGCTAGCTGAAAGTAAAAATGGTGGTCGATATGGAATTGCAGGAAACCAAGAATTACGTCCTTCAGCTTATGAAGGATAAAGATGATATTGAAGCGGAAATAAAAGCTTTGAAAGAAATTCTAGATTCCGTACGTACATAGAAACATTTTAGATTCGTAACAATTACAAACTTAATTGTATCATCATAAATGACTATTTTTATTTCGCAAATACCATGATCTGCCAATTTTCTGGGTATGCAATGATCGTAGAATCATGTTGGTATGGATGAATCGTTGGTTGATTCCGAGGGATATCCAAGACAGGACATCGATGTTTATCAAGTCAGGCATGCAAGGCATAAAATTATATGTATGTATAATTATATAATCTTTGTGTATAAAATGTAAATTATTTGAAACAAAAATAAATGCATTACTAAATGATTAGGTTCTAGGAATGATCATAAAACCTTGATGAAAAAAATAGAAGAGGGATTGCACAAAATACATGCATTGTCAGGAAATCGAGCAGGTAGTTCTGAGCCAGTTGAAGAAAATGATGTTGAACAGGCTGTGCAATTAGAGCCTTTCTTAAGGGTAAACTTGGTTTCCCCTGATTCACCAGCTGAGATTGCAGTAAGATATATATTATAAACTGTTAGAATAATGAAATAATTTCAAACATGCATAATATTTAATTTCAAATTTTAGGGAATTGAAGTTGATGATCTCATATTGGAGTTTGGTTCTATTGATTATCGGAATTTTAAGTCATTAAGAGATATTGGTGCTCTAGTACAAAATAGTAGGTACAAAAACATAAGCATAAAAATTAAACGTGTATCTAATATTTTAGCTTTGAACTTAATTCCACGTCCTTGGGCTGGCAATGGCCTTTTGGGCTGCAATGTAATACCTTTAGAGACTGTTGAGAGATAAAAGCATTTAACAAAAACGTTCGTTTATAATTATATATAATTTTTGTGTATATTCTTAAATAAAGAAGTTTTGTAAATTATTATATTTAATATAGTGTTAAATATTTTCTACACATGTCACATTGCATTCATATGTTTAAGTCTTAAATAGCTTTTGTAGTATAATCCTGAATTACATTATTCAGGCCTCGAAATATAATATGTGTAACTTTTCTGACATGATTAAAACTTGTGTGTTTAGAACGGCGGGAAAATGTGTATAAAATGAACATTGATTCATGCTTCATTCTTATGAAGCAGCAATCAGTATTTGGGTGCAGCAGCAAAATGCATTTTACACTGCTTGTAAGTTGTCATATTATGTACATATACATATTATTATTTTTAACTATAAACCATTGTTTCATCTACGGAGTACTGTGCTTAAGTATCCTTACATTGCAAGTACTAAGTAAGGAAAAAATTTATACAGAATATTCGGATCAACGTCCATGGTCATTTGGTCATTTGGTCATTTTTTACAATTATGAAATATTGCTTCAAATACGGAAAACTAAAAAATCTGTGGACATTTCTACAAATGTTGAAACTACAACTCTTGAAAAACAAAATAAAATGCATTTATATTTTGATGATGCACATCAAAAAATGGTACAAATTTACAAACATAAATGAAGCAGAAAATATAAATAGGATGCAATCTCTGAAAAATGTATACCAACTTTCTGGCTATGCAAGTAATAGCAAAGTAATCTTCTATACAATAAATGTAGACTCTAACCGTTAGAGAAACAGGGAACTTCGGTATAATGCGAATTGGAGGATGATATATGGGAGTATTTTTTGTATTTCTTGTACTTATAAAATGAAGATTCTGTATTTTTTGAAACATAAAATTACAATTTTTACGGATGAGAATTCATATATCTATGTTGTAGAAAAATAAGCATAAAAATCAATCTTAAAAATGGTCAATGGAATCTCGTTTGGACTTGGTGATGCAAAGAAGTATTCTGTTTAAAAAACGACATTTACAATGTATTACTGCTTCATTCTATTCTTGTAATTAAAATCTAAATATGCGTGCTTGTAGAAATGATTAAAAAGTGTTATTCGCAATATGTTTATAATAAAGTATTATTCGCAATATGTAACAAGGAGAATCTACGATCTTGAAAATCTCAAATGAGTTCTTCAGAATAGATCTTCGTTTTTGAGATATTTTGATTTAAAGTTTGTGCCATATAAGATGAACCACATACCACAGAAAATGGGTATATTTACAACGTTAAAAGATTTATAAGAGAAAAGAGCATTGTATGCAATGTTTACACGAATTATAAATATGCGATATTGAGTTGTTGCAAGAGTAATTTAGGTCTTTTTGTAAGCTATCTATTTGAAAAACTGAAAATACATTTGCAACAATCTCTTGAACGATCATCCTGATCGGGCAAACACCGTCTGTCGAGTAAATAAAGTTGTCCGTGTACAGATCAAGACCTCGAATTCATTTCGCGAACTCGCATACTCGAAACCCCCGATACGTTTAACGTTCAAAGTTTCGCATCGAAGCGGTTATTCGAAAGTGCAAGTACATAAGGTAAGTTATCGATATAGTCTATGTTCGCTAATATTAACACTTTACCAATCGCTAACGATTCGACTAACGCTCGTAACGCAACTGAGCAACGTACCTCAATACTAAATAACAAATCACAACTCACATAATAATAATTGTTTATCGCCATGGCAACCGATTAATAGACTATCGGTGGGTAAGCGTCAGCGATAAAAGCCGATTAATAGGCTATCGGTCGGTAAAGTGTTAATAAAGTGTGTTTAATCTAATATAACAAGTATATCTGTAATCGGTAATGAGGTTTTGCAAAAGTCTGATATCGAAGGATAAAGCTTTGCAAAACCATGATATAGAAGGATCAAAGTATGCTTTTGCGCGCGTATTTATTGTATGTTTCTTTTTTTTGCAAAATTGTATCAGGGTTAAAATGCAAATAGTAAGTAGCAAAATAGTAAAATGCAAATGTTATAATGCAATAGTAAGCTTATGTTTTTTAAGTTTATCAAGAATGATAAATATTATACGTAAATGTAGTACATACAAGTCTTATTTATATGAATTATCGTAATTACGAAAGACATATAAAATTTTCTGAAATTATATAAAAAATTAAAGCGAAAAGTCCTGTGCGCTAAAAGAAATCAAAAAATTATTTTTTAATTTCAGAATTATGAGGCATTATTTGAATGTTATAATTCTGTTGCTTTAATCGACTAGATTGTCTGTCACAATCCTTTTTTGGTAAGTAATATCTGTTTTTAATTAACCGCACAGTTTATAGCATTGATTGAGATAGATTGCAGGTGTTATGTATCGATAACATCATATTTCTTCTTCAGGTTAAAACTAAGACAGAAAAATCCATAAAATCTTGCTTTTACGTGGTGATGGCATTTTAAAACTCATCATTTAAAATTCATCTCGTGTCTGTGTTCACAACTGATTTCAGTTTTCTCTTCTCACAGACATCGGTCAACTAAACTGATTTCTATATCTCGGACGAATTTTCTTTGATGTACATATGAGCCGTTTATTTTGAAAGTGGCATAAGTCACTTTTTAAAAAAAATCGAGTTAATGTAACACTAATTACAATTGAACGGTATCTTTTCATTTTTAAAAAATTTGCAATCGATAAGTTGAGAACTATTGAGATTTGTTCGAGAGAAGTTTTGCTAATTAACGATATAACAAACATATTTATTTTGAAAGTGGCGTAAGTCGCGGTACTCAGGAAATTAATTGCGGGGCTTAGTGTAAAAGAAATAGAAACGTTTGATAAGTGTGTGTGAAGTATTGTTTTGAATTATTTTCAGTATTTTTAAAAAAGTTGCGATCACTGGACTTATTTTTATAAGTGCGAAAGAGAATAGTGCAGTTTTGTAAATTATATTATAGTGATGTGGCGGCTATGTAAAGAGACCCGCCAGCAGATGGCTATAAAATGTTTTATAAACTAACTTTAGATGAAAAAGATGAATTTCTAACTTTGGATTTGTCACCAAAAAGAGGAAGACCTAGGCGTTATTCACAAATAGAAATGGATCCGTTATACGCTGGATCTCGTCCTGTTTCTTCAGCAAAATACAAAGACATGATGGACTTGCTTAATTATATACCCCCAATATACCACAGTTATTTAAAAAATTTGAAACAAAACACGATTTCCGAGGACTTAATCACTCCTATTGATGACGAAAATGAAATTGAACCGATGTATTTTCATATAAATTACTTATACTTATGTTTCAAAATGTACTAATTATTTTTGTATTTTATGAATATTAAAATAAAAAATACTTAAATCAAACCTTTATATTAAATATGTTCATGGTATAAATTATTATTATATATGTAATTTATTCAACAATTTTAGTAAATCACTGTCCTTTCAAAACATCGCTTCAGTAAAATACGTCGGA